TCTGGGGCTGCTTTCTTCTGAGGCCTGTCTTGGCTCTGAAGATGGCCATCTTCTCCCTGAGTCTTCACATGGTTTTCTCTCTGTACTTCTGTGTCCAGATTTCCTCTTTGTCTCTCTCTTTTCTTATTTTTTGAGACAATGTATTATTTTGTTGCCCAGGATGGAGGGTGGTGGCACAATCATAGTTCTCAGCAGCCTTGAACTCCTGAGCTCAAGCTGTCCTGAGTGTGGTGTGGTGATGTGAGCCTACAGTTCCAGCTATACTATAGGCTCACATCGCCACACCACACTCGGCTAATTTTAAATTTTTTCTAGAGGCTGGGCTCAGTGGTGCATGCCTGTAGTCCCAGCTACTTAGGAGGCTGAAGTGTGAGGACTGCTGAAGCCCTGAAGCTCTGGCTGTAGTGTGCTATGTGGATCAGGGGTCTGCACTAAGTTAGACATCAACATGGTGACCTCATGGGAGCAAGGGGACCACCAGGTTCATGTGGGGTGAACCAGCCCAGGTCAGAATGAAGCAAGTCAAAACTCCTGTGCTGATTTGTAGTGTGATTGTGCCTGTGTATAGCCACTGCACCCGAGCCTGGGCAATGTAGCAAGACCCTGTCTCCAAAATAAAAAGTTCTATAATTTTTTAATAAAAAATTTAAAAAATTATTTCTAGAGATAAGATCTTGCTTTGTTTCCCAGGCTGGCTGAAAACTCCTGGTCTCAAGTGATCTTTTCACCTCGGCCTCCCAAAGTGCTGGAATTACAGGCATGAGACACCACACCTGGTCAACACTTGCTGTCTCTCCAGTGCTTGGCATTTGACAGCCAATTATTGCAGGGCACCTCATTCCTGGCATTCAGATGTTAGACTAAGAATTACCAATTTGAAGATGATGTGTTGAACATAGAATCAGAGCAAATGGAATTAATAATCTTATGGAAATGGTGCCAGAGTTTCTGATCCCTAAATATAGATGTATCATCTTATGCATAATTTAACATGTTTTGAAAACATGGCAGAATGTTTTAAATTAGAACTCCCCAAGAATATCCTGGAATGTGAAAATGTGAATGTTCTACAAAAGGGAATTATTTACTCATTTCTTCTTTTTTCTTTTTTTTTGACATAAAGTTTCAGTCTTGTTGCCCAGGCTGGAGTGCAATGGCATGATCTCAGCTCACCACAACCTCTGCCTCCTGGGTTCAAGTGATTCTCCGGTCTCAGCCTCCTGAATAGCTGGGATTATAGGCATGTTCCACCATGCCTGGCTAATTTTGTATTTTGTAGAGATGGGGTTTCTCCATGTTAGTCAGGCTGCTCTCAAACTCCTGACCTCAGGTGATCCACCTGCCTTGGCCTCCCAAAATGTGGGGATTACAGGCATGAGCCACCATGCCTGGCAACTTGTTTATCCTCTAATAAATATTCTATTGAACATCGACTTCATGCCAGGGATGAGGCTAGGTTCTGTGATACAATAAATAAGGACTAGGCAGGATTATGTAGTGATTAAAACACATTCTTGAGGTCAGGCTTCATGTCTCATGCCTGTAATCTCAACATTCTGGGAGGCTGAGATGGGAGGGCCACTGGGAGGCCAGGAGTTTGAGATAAGCCTGAGCAGCATAGTGAGACCCCATCTCTATAATTTTTTTTTTGACATAGCGTCTTACTCAGCCATCCATGCTGGACTGCATTGGCTTGATCTTAACTCACTGCAACCATTGTCTCCTGGGTTCAAGCAATTCTCCTGTCTCAGCCTCGGAGTAGCTGGGATTACAGGCACCCACCATCATGCTCAGGTAATTTTCTTTTTTTTTTTGTATTTGAGTAGAGGTGGGGTTTCACTATGTTGGCCAGGCTGGTCTTGAACTCCTGACCTCAGTTGTTCCACCTGCCTCAGCCTCCAAAGTGCTAGGTGTGAGCCACCACACCTGACCTTCCATTGAAATTTTTTAAACATTGAGAAAAAAAAAACACATTCTGGAGCCAAATCGCCTGAATTCAAATTCCAACCCTACCATTTAGTAGCTTTGACAGCTGCTTAACCACTTCATGCCTCAGTTTCCTCATCTGTAAAATGAGAATAGTAATTGCTCCTATCCGATAAAGGTCATATGAGAATTAAATGAGTCAACATTTGTAAGAAAGTACAGCCAACTGGTGTTTAACAAAATTGACAAGAACATACATTGGAGAAAGGGCATCCTTTTCAATAAATGGTGCTGGGAAAATTGGATTGCCATGTGCAGAAGAATGAAACTGGACTCCCGATTCTCACCATACATATACAAAAATCAATTCAAGATGAATACAGATTTACATGTACCTGAAACTGTAAAAATACTAAAAGAAAACCTCAGTAAAACTCTTCTGGACATTGGTCTAGGCGAAGAATTTAAGACTAAGACCTCAAAAGTACCGGCCAAAAGACTAAAATAGACAAATCAGACTTAATTAAACTAAAAAGCTTCTGCATAACAAAAGAAATAATCAAATAATCAACAGAATAAACAGACAACCTGCTAAATGGGAAAAAAAGATTTTGCAAATTATGCACGTGACAGGCGACTAATAGCCAGAAGCTGTAAGGAACTGAAACAACTCAACAATTAAAAACATATAACCACATTAAAATGTGAGCAAAGCAGAAGTTCAAGGTTATAGTGAATTATGATCATGCAACTGCACGCTAGCCTGGTGACAGAGCAAGACCCTCTCTCTTGCACCACCATGCCCAGCTAATTTTTTTGTATTTTAGTAGAGACGGAGTTTCACCACATTGCCCAGGGTAGTTTTAAACTCCTGAGCTCAGACAATCTGCCCACCTCGGCCTCCCAGGCATTTTTCAAAAGGAGATATACAAATGACCAACGGGCATATGAGAAAATAGTCAACATCACTAATTATCAGAGAAATGCAAATTAAAACCCAACAAGAGATCATCTTGTATTGTCAGAATGGCCATTACTAAAAAGACAAAAAGTACCATGTTGGTGAGGATGTGTCAAAAAGTTAAGTCTAATACACTGTTGATGGTAATTAGTGTGATCACTATGAAAAATAATATGGAGATTTCTCAAATAACTAAAAATAGAACTACTGGCCAATCTAGCAATCCCACTATTGGGTATCTGCCCAAAGGAAAAGAAATCATGATAGCAAAAAAAGTCTGCTCTCACATGTTTATCGCAACGCTATTCACAATAGCAGAGATACGAAATGAACCTGTCCATCAATGGATAACTGGATAAAGAAAATGTAATACACACACACACACACACACACACACACACACACACACACACACACATTGGGATACCATTCAGCCATAAAAAGAATGAAATCATGTCTTTTGCAACAAACAAGGTTGAAACTGGAGGCCATTAAGTGAAAGAGCTCAGAAAAAGACAAATACTGCATGTTCTCACTTACTAGTGGGAGGTAAATAATATTGACACATGGATTAAAGTGCAGAATAATAGACAAAGGAGACTCAAAAGAAGTAGGGAGTGGGAGGGCATGGATAATGAGAACTCACTTAATGGGTACAATATATGTTATTTGGTAATGGACACTCTAAAAGCCCTTCACCAATAAACAATCTATGCATGAAACAAAATAACCTTTGTACCCCGTAAATTTATACCAAAAAAAGGCAAATGTACGCATGCTTTCTTAAAGATGAATCAAAAGCTATTTTCAGTTAGTTAATATAACTGTTTGACCGAGAAACATCTTTGGAAGCAAACTTTGAGAGCATGTTATTACAACATGTTTCTTACACACAAGAAAAAAAATTTTTAAAAAGCAAAGAACATTGTCTGATACACTGTAAGTGTTTTATAAATGTTGTCATATGAATACACCAGCCCTTGGCTTTAAGAAGCTCACACTAGGCTGGGCGTGGTGGCTCATGCCTGTAATACCAGCACTTTGGGAGGCCAAGGCAGGCGAATCATGAGGTCGGGAGATTGAGATCATCCTGGCTAACATGGTGAAACACCATCTCTAAAAATACAAAAAAATTAGCTGGGTGTGGTGGTGCACACCTGTAGTCCCAGCTAATCAGGAGTCTGAGGCAGGGGGATCGCTTGAACCCCAGAGGCGGAGCTTGCAGTGAGCCGAGATGTCCCACTATACTCCAGCCTGGCAACAGAGTGAGACTCCATCTCAAAAAAGGAAACTGACAGTACTGGAAAGTAAAGAGTGACCGGTAAGTGTTTCAATACAATGTAGCAAAAGGACTAACTAAGATCTTACTGTAGCACTGAACTTTCTCTGCAGCAGGATGAATGAAATACAGTAAGACTGGGGCCAAATGACATGTGTTCCTTTTTACAGCTTCTACTATGAAAACAACCTCCATTCAGGTAAGGTATAATTATCACAAATGATTTTCAAAAGCCTATCAAATTTAAGTAAAACTTGTTTAGGAGACCACCTGTTTGAACTTATAGAACTTACAAGAGTAATTTATGTGAAAATAGGGTTTAGGCAACTGTTCTGCTGTTTGAAACTGTGGGCAGAGCACCATATAAATTAGATGAGAAAATAACCTTATAAGTAGGATAGCCAACTTGTCCTGGTTTGCATGGGACATTCTCAGTTTTATTTAATGTAATTTATTTATTTTTGAGACAGTCTTGCTCTGTCACCTAGGCTGAAGTGCAATGGTACAATCTCAGCTCACCGCAACTTCTGCCTCCCAGGTTCAAGTTATTATCCTGCCTCAGCCTGCGGAACAGCTGGGACTACAGGTGCACACCACCATGCCTGGCTAATTTTTCAAAACTGAAGGTTCTCATTCCCAGAAATCCCCTCTGTCTTGGACAAAAGTTAAAAATTGTTGCAATCATTCTGATAGGATGTGAGAGCTTTAAAAAGAAAACTATTAGGCTGCTTGGTCTGGATGGAACTGGTAAGTATAGTTAAAATCAATAGATATTTACTGACTTTCTAATGAATGAATGAATGACAACATATATTCCTGTTCTTATTTTTTTAGATGGAGTTTTGCTGTTGTCCCCCAGGCTGGAGTAAAACAACATGATCTTGGCTGCTCGCAGCCTCCACCTCCTGGGTTCAAGCAATTCTCCTGCCTCAGCCTTTCAAGTAGCTTGGACTACAAGCAGGTACCACCATGCCCCGCTAATTTTTGTATTTTTAGTAGAGACAGGATTTCACCATGTTGGCCAGGCTGGTCTGGAACTCCCAACCTCAAGTAATCTGCCCACCTTGGCCTTCTAAAATGCTAGGATTACAGGCTTATGCCACCTTGCCCAGTATTTCTGTTTGTTTGTTTTTTCTTCTGAGAGGAGTCTTGCTCTGTCACCAGGCTGGAGTGCAGTGGTGTGATCTTGGCTCACTGCAACCTCAACCTCCTGGGTTTAAGCAATTTTCCTGCCTCAGCCTCCTGAGTAGCTGGGACTATAGGTGTGCGCCACCATGCCCAGCTAATTTTTGTATTTTTAATAAAGATGGGGTTTCACCATGTTGGCCAGGATGCTCTCTATCTCTTGACCTCATGATCCACCCACCTTGGCCTCCCAAACTGTCAGGATTACAGGCATGAACCACTGCACCCAGCCCAATATTCCTGTTCTTAATGAGCTATGATCTGATTCAGGGAACAAGAAACAAACCACTGTAAAGTTAAATCAAGGTACATTTACATATTATTCAAGACAATAAGAGAAATTATGTCACAAAATGAGTAATGGCCAAATCAATTTTCTACTTAGCATTGTTTTGGGAATGGATTTCAGAGGAAAGGAGCAGCTTTTACTGGTTACTGGGGTTGAGATATTCATGGAAAACTATTAAAGTGGTTATACTTAGGCTGGATGTGGTGGCTCACATCTATAACCCCAGCACTTTGGGAGGCACAGACAGGAGGATTGCCTGAGCCCAGGAGTTCAAGACTAGCCTGTGCAACACAGTGAGACCCTGTATCTAAAAAAAAAAAGTTATACTTAATAATGATTTAGAAAAACTAGAGTGATATTGATACACAGAAATGAAGGCAGAGTGTTGCAGGTGGATGGCACAGAACAGGCAAAGCGACAGGAGTGAGAAGAAGCAGAAGGCTTCTTCCAGGGCCAAGGGGTATTAGTTCATTAAAAGGGAGAGAAGGTTGGGTGCAGTGGCTCACACCTGTAATCCCAGCACTTTGGGAGGCTGAGGGGGACAGATTGCTGGAGTCCAGGAGTTTGAGACTAGCCTAAGCAACATGAGATGAAATCCTTTCTTTACTAAAACTACAAAAAAATTAGCCAGGCATGATAGTGTGCACCTTTCCCAGCTACTCAGGAGACTGAATTGGGAGAATCACCTGAGCTCAGGAGGTTGAAGCTGCAGTGAGGCAAGATCATGCCATTGCACTCCAGCCCGGGCAACCAGAGTGAGAACTTGTCTCAAAAAAAAGGTGGGTGGTGGGTGAGTCAAGGGAGAAAAGGGGCCAGAGGAGAGAAATGCAGTGAGAGGAAGTCAGCATTTGATGATGCTTTGCAGTGTCATGCATCCTTTTACACATGGGAGACATCGTTAACAACCACTCTTTCCCTGTGAGAAGAAACACTACTTGCCAGCTGCGGTGGCTCATACCTGTAATTCCATCACTTTGGGAAGCCTAGGCAGGTGAATCACAAGGTCAGGAGTTCAAGACCAGCCTGGGCAACATGGTGAAACCCAATCTTTACTAAAATTACAAGTTAGCTGGGCATGGTGGCATGTGCCTGTAATCTCAGCTACTGGGAGGCTGAGGCAGGAGAATTGCTTTAACTGGGGCCCAGTACTGGGACCCAGTCATACCACTGCACTCCAGCCTGGGCTACAGAGTAAGACTCCATCTCAAAAAAAAAAAAAAGAAAAAGAAAAAAAGGAAATGCTACCTTCTCCCCTGAGCTGTTGTTCCCCTAAGTTGGAAATACAAGCCCTAAATATAATGCAGTATGGTGGTTGTTTGTTTGGGTTATCTAGTATTAATAACAAACCACTGTAAAACTTGTTGTGAGCTTTTTCACAGCACACTGGGCTTAGGGCAGTCATCTTTCTACAGGGGAGCTGGCTTCCCCCAGAGGGCCAAAACAGAAGCTTCCAGTCCTCAAGTCTCTGGCTCCAAATAGTACCCCTTCTGCCTGTTTCTACTGATTAAAGCAGGTCATAGGGACACTGAGATTCCAAGGCAGTGGAGTATACAAGGAGGCATAGCTCAGCCGGGCTCACTGATGTGACAGCCTACCACACTCCTTCTTTAACCTCTCCCAAAACACGGAGACTTTAGGTAACATTAATTTTATGCACTTCTGCTTAGAGGAAGAAGGCAGCCAGCAGTCTCTCCTGATGGAAAAGAGAACCTAAACAGGAAGTTAAGTCTATTGAGTCCTAAAATTGACAGCTGTGTAAAGATAAGATGAATCAAGGATCTGAAGCTGGGCGCACCCCCACCGCCTAGGACAGAGGATCTGGAAAGGAAATGCATGTTTGGATTTGAGATACAAGGGCTAGCCAGCAGCCCATGTCTTTCCTACAGGACAGCCCAGAGCTGTTGCTCACATCTTCAAGGAATACTAGTGGAAGTGGAGAGTTTGCCTCTTAATTACCCATAGAGTAGAGGCTGCTGCACCACTGCAGGGTTTTATACAATTATTGACCACAGCTTTTGGCTGTGATTCTTTGTCTCTCCTCTCCCTGTTCTCCCTCCCTTCCAGGACACAAAGAGAAGAGAGTTGAGTTAAATAAAACACCCATAACACCGATTTCAGAAAACATTCTTAACAACAGTCTGTACTTTATTTAATTTTTTTTTTGAAACAAGGTCTCATTTTGTCACCTAGGCTGTAGTACAGTGGGACTACCAGGGCTCATTGCTGCTTAGAACTCCTGAGCTAAAGCGGCCCTCCTTCCTCAGCCTCCTGAGAAGATGGGACTATAGGAGTACATTACCATACCCAGGACTGCAGGCACACACCACCACACCCAGCCAAATAAAAAAATTTTGTGTGTGCAGATGGGGTCTCAAACTTCTAGCCTCAAGCAAGCCTCTATATTGGCCTCTTAATTTGCTGGGATTACTAGATTACAGGTGTAAACAATCTCTCCTTTTTTTTTTCGAGATGGGCTCTGGCTCTGTTGCCCAGGCTGAAGTAGAGTGGTGTGATTTCACTGCAGCCTCTGCCTCCCAGGTTCAAGCAAATGTCCTGCCTCAGCCTCTTGAATAGCTGAAACTACAGGTGCCTACCACCATGTCTGGATAATTTTGTGGGGGGGGTGTACAAATACACACAATCACTTGACACTTTATTGAATGCAAAATAAGATTTAGCATTTTGCCTTTGTTGTACACAGCTGCAGAGGGAGCCCAGGGCAGGGAGGACTGCAAGGTTTTCCTTGGCGGGGGAGGTGTGCACCCTGCAGTCCTGCCGTGTTGTGGGAAGATCAGCACATGTTGTGTCGGTCACCATAGCCCCTCAGATGGGTGCTTTTCCAGTCATCCCACTCCTGAGCTCCGTACAGTGTTTGTTCATCCTCCTCCTCTTTTTCTTCTTAATCTTCCTGTTGCTGAGCTGCTTTTCTTAATTCCTCTGGTGTTGCCTTGATCACTCCCTGATCTGGGAATGCTCCATATTTCTAACGTTGCTCATACCAGTCACTCACCATCATAGTTGCCAGGTTTGAATAACCAGCTCCAGATAATTAGACTTGGGCCATGTTCCAAGTGAGAATGAAGGGTTTCACTGGAGGCCTCTCCTGCAAGATAAGTTAGAAGTTGATTCCTCTGAAGCATTTCTTTCTCTCAGGAAACTTTATTTCCTGGTCAATGCTCTCAATCTCTTCTAAGCTGATATCTATCCACCTCGGAAGGTGAAGATAAGATTCATGAACATGCTCGTCATCTGCTTGACCACTTTCCACAGCAGATTTCATTGCAGACAACCTATGCTCCAAATCCTTCTTCTGCTTGTATCTCTCTATTTTAATCTGTCTTTGAGCTGCCATAGCAATGAGGCGAGGATAAGCCATAGAGGAATTAGCAGTGTGATTTTCAGCAGAGTTCTTGGCTTTGGGCAGCTCAGACTTTGCCACATGATAGCAATGGCACTTAGTTAAGTAGTTTATAAAGTGTTCTCAAGCCCACTGCAAAGGATCTAGACATTTGCTGGGGTTGACTTATTTTATGGTGAGGGCTCCTTGAAATGCTAGCACCAAATAGGTACTTCAGGTCAGTGGAAGCAATCTCTTCCAAATCTTCATTTTGACTGAATAAGTCGAGCTGCGAAACATTTTGGCAGCCTTCTCAAGGAGGTCCAGGTCCTTGAACATCTTCTCCTGGACTATCCGGAAACCGGCAGATTCAGTCACTACTTCTTCTATTTCCAGAAGCTGTTTGCTGGTTTTAAGCAGCTTGGGGAGCTGCAGCAGCAATAAATCACCTTCAGCAGCCATCTTGGGGAGGGAGGAGCCTCCATTTTTGTATTTGTGATAGAGACGGGGTTTCATCATGTTGGCCAGGCTGGTCTCAAGCTCCTGACCTCAGGTGATCCAGCCACCTCAGCCTGGGTGGGATTACACATGTGAGCCACCATACCCGGTCTGATCTGCCTTCTTGACCTCCCTTCTTTTTAAAAAATTTACTTTTCCAATAAAAAAAGACTCCCTATTCAATAAATGGTGCTGGGATAACTGGCTAGCTATATGCAGAAGATTGAAGCTGGACCTCTTCCTTATACCATATACAAAAATCAACTCAAGATGAATTAAAGACTTAAATGTAAAACTCAACTATAAAAATCCTGGAAGATAGCCTAGGCCATATCATCCTGGACATAGAAATGGGCAAAGATTTCATGATAAAAACACCAAAAGCAATCACAACAGAAGCAAAATTTGACAAGTGGAATCTGATTGAACTTGAGAGCTTCTGAGCAGCAAAATAAGCTATCAACAGAGTAATCAGAAAATCTACAGAATCAGAGAAAATACTTGCAAACTATGCACTGACAGAAGTCTAATATCCAGCATTTATAAGAAACTTAAACAGATTTACAAGAGAAAACACCTCCATTAAAAAGTGGGCCAAGGAAATGTACAAACAGTTTTCAAAAGAAGACATATATGCATCCAGCAAGCATATGAAATAAAGCTTAATATCACTGATCATTAGAGAAATGCAAATCAAAACCACAATGATATAACTATTGGGTACTGGGCTTAATACCTGGGTGATAAAATAATCGGTACAACAAACCCCCATGACATGAATTTATGTATGTAACAAACAAACGTTCACATGTACCCCCAAAACTGAAGTAAAAGGGGTGTGTGTGTGTGTATCTGTGTGTTTTTAAAGATGAGGTCATGAAATCCCCCCCACCCCTCCAAAAAGTTGCTTTTCCCATTTGTACCAGCCACTTACTCCCATTGCTTCTCTCCTGCAGGCATCCTATTCTGGCATGATTGAGATGTGCTCTTGAATACACATATATCCTTGCAATGTACATAGTGGTGCTGTGTTTGTGCTTAGTATAGATAAGTAAGAAAGGGGAAGGGAAAATATTAAGGGGCACACAGATGAGCCATTTTCCCCTTTTAAGAAGCTTTACAGATGTCCTACTCAACAATTTCTATTCCCATCTTGCCAGCCAAAATTTTACCACTTGCTCATGCCTATTCACCTGGGAGACTAGAAAAAGTAGTTTTCTTAAGCTGGTCATATTGACATTTGCAATAAAGTAAAGGTTTCATTGGCAAGGAAAAAAAAAGAAGCTTTAGTCTGCACTTAGTGATTGTGATGCTGAATAAAAGTCTTTTTTTTTAATGTGCTGTATAAAGTTAGTTTATTCTGAAGCCATATTGGTAAATTTTCCCAAAAGTGTGAAGTTAGAATTCCTGCAGGGTGGTGCCAGGTTCTATTTGGAATTTATATACAACCTGCTTGGGTGGAGAAGCCATTGTCTTCAGAAACCTTGATGTAGTTGAACTGATATTTATGGTTGTGACCTGAAGTTCACCATTAAAAGGGATTACCCAAGCAAAAATAATAATACTGATAGAATATCATAGACTACATGGTATAATAGAATAAAATAGACTGAATGGTTTAAACAATAAAAGTTTACATCTCACAGCTCTGGAAGCTAGGAAGTCTCAGATAAGGTGCTGGCAGATCCAGGTCTGGTGAGGGGCCACTTCTTGGTTTGTAGATGACTGTCTTCTATCCTCAATTGCTGGTGAGCAGAGAGGAAGATCCTGTGTCTCCTCTTTTTTTCTCTCCTTTTTTGAAGTCTCACTCTGTCAACCAGGCTGGGGTGCAGGGGTGCTATCTCGGCTCACTGCAACATCTGCCTCCTGGGTCCAAGTGATTCTCCTGCCTCAGCCCCCTGAGTAGCTGGGACTACAGGCACGTGCCACCACACCCACCTAATTTTTGTATTTTTAGTAGAGATGGAATTTTACCATGTTGACCAGGCTGTTCTTGAACTCCTAACCTCAGGTGATCTGCCCACCTTGGCCCCCAAAAGTGCTGGGATTACAGGGGTGAACCACCATTCCCAGCCTCTTTTTTTTATTCATTCAAATATTTATTGAGCAGCTAAACAGATAGAAAGGTGATTTAAAACATGGTCAGAGGTGAGGCAAATGCACAAGTAATAGAAAGCAAAGGGCAAGGTTCACTGAATCACAGCAATGAGAAGAAAGTGCTTTAGGGAACCAAGAGTGAGATTGTTTCCTGAAGAGGCATGGGTGGCAAATCAGAAAAGGGGATTGAGATTAAAATAATAGACTTCAGTCTGGATTGCTGATAACACTCATTATGGACTACATTTGTCTCTCTTTTTTCTTTCTCTCCATCTTTGGGCTTAATTTACTGGTAGTGCCCAGGATTGTTCAGTGTGATTTTTTCTATACTTGTTTGCATTTTTACTTGAATGTCTTCTACAGAACTAGGTCCTTTTGGTGTTTTAGGAGTTTTTTCCTGTTATTTGAAGGATACTTGTCCTTTTGATTTTGGTGTTGATGATGGTTTTGAGCCTTTTCCATTCTGATTTGACTTTCGTGCATTTTTGGCTGAAGTATCTCATGTATTTTTTCACTGGTGCTTTTTGATGATGAGTTTCCTCATCATCAAAATCATCATCATCATAATCTTCATCGACATCATCTTCATCAGCAGTAAGTTTTAGTTTTTTCTGTGGAAGCTGGCTACCACCTCCAGGGGCAGACCACTTTCCAGATATACTTCAGAGTTTTGAATCCTCCTCCTATTCATCTTCTGACTCTTCTTCCTCCACAGCTACTAAGTGCTGTCCACTAATATGCGCTGGCCTTGAGCCACACTTCAACTGTAAGACCACTGGTGGTGTTATTTCAATGCCCCCAAGGGAAACTGTTGGCTGTACAGACATTTTTTAAGTTGCCAGTGTTACTTTAATGGGACTGCCTTCATAATTCATTGACTCTGCTTTAACAATCTGCAATTCATCCTTTGCACTAGTCCCTAAACTGACCATTCTTAAAGATAACTGGTGCTCATTTCATCATTATCCACCTTAAGTGATCATCTTTGTTGGCCTTTAGTTCACAACCAAAAAGATAGTTCTGGGACCTCAGGGGGCTCATGTCCATGCCCATTCAATCTTCCATTGGGTGACAGCATGCACTTAGGTGTGAGAGAAGGTGGACAGAGATAAACAACCACTGCTTAAGAGAATAGCCGTGCAGGACCGAATCACACCAGGTGCCTCCTCCTCTTTTTATAAGGGCATTGATTCCATCATAAGGCTCACTGTCATGATCTCAAATAATGCTCATCACCCCCAAAAAGCCCCATCCTCAAATGCCATTACATTGAGGGTTAGGATTTCAATATATGAATTTTGGGAAGACAAGCATTTAGTCTGTAGCAGGGAAATGGCAGTGGGTAGACATCTAGCTGTCTCTGTCACCTGTAGGAATGAGGAAGGGACTGTCGGACATTTCCTGGTCTCAGGGGTCACCATGGAAGAGCAGAGGCAAGGAAACAGTGAGTCAGGAGAAAAGAGGCCAGTTTGCTTCATCGGATCTGCATCCACTGCCTCAGGAACAGAAATCATCAGGAGTGACCACCAGGAATGTTCCTTCACCACAGATGTGCTTTCACCCTGGAGAAAACTTGACCAGATGATCTTGGGATTGTTTTAGAAGAGAGGAGCAGAGAAGTGGCAGACGTGAGATGAACAACTTGACAACATGAACTACAAGTGAGAGTGGGGGACGTGGGCTTACTTCTCCCATTTTCCTTTTACCTTCCTTACAAGGGCAATTTGCCTTGTTTCACTTGAAGCATATCCCCAGCATGTAGGTCAAATGAAAAATGTTTATAAATTAAATACAAATGTAAAGGTAATAAGGACAATTGTGGTAACTACCTTGTAAAAGTCACCACTTAAATTCAAGAAAAGTAGGAAACAGCTACACACATTTCAAGGCACTAAACAACAACAACAAAAAAGAAAAATCCTCACTTGTTAAACATGTACATATGCATAAATATTGATATGACACATTTAAAGATTGTAATCCTAGGTTAATTGCCAATTTTTTTTTGAGATGGACTTTTGCTCTTATTGCCCAGTCTGGAGTGCAATGGTGCTATCTCGGTTCACCACAACCTCCGCCTCCCAGGTTCAAGCGATTTTCCTCCCTCAGCCTCCAGAGTAGCTGGGATTTCCGGCATGTTTCATCACACCCACCCAATTTTGTATTTTTAGTGGAGACGGGGTTTTTCCATGTTTGCCTGGCTGGTCTCAAACTCCCTACCTCAAGTGATCTGCCCACCTCAACCTCCCAAAGTGCCGGGATTACAGGTGTGAGCCACTGTACCCAGCTGGATTGCCGATTTTTTTTTTTTTAGTTATCTTTATTCTAAGGCACCAATCCCAGCATTGCAAATGGCTTAATTTGCTTTCAGTGTTTTTCTTTTTAAAAAAAAAAAAAAAGACGGGGTTGCGCCATGGTTGCCCAGGCTGAACTGCAGTGGCTAATCACAGGCGCGATCCCACTACTGATCAACACGCGAGTTTTGACCTGCTCCGTTTCTGACCTGGGCCGGTTCACTCCTCCTTAGGCAACCTGATGGTTTCCCGCTCCCAGGAGGTCACCATATTGATGCCGAACTTAGTGCGGACACCCGATAGGCATAGCGCATTACAGTCCAGAACTCCTGGGCTCAAGCGATACTCCCACCTCAGCCTCCTGAGTAGCTGAGACTACAGACACGCACCACCACGCCCAGCGCGCTTTCAGTGTTTTTCTGGTCTAGACATCAGTGGGGATTTACTCTTGCACTCTTATTTATTCTTGTACCTGCAGTTGCCTCTTGAGTGTAGTGAAGGGATATTTCATTGCAGTCCAGTTTCATCCTCTGTGAAAACTGTAAGAGAAACCCTGGGGACATGTTGTTATTATTATTATTTTTATTATTATTATTATTAATCCATTGCTTTTCAAGCTCTAGCACTAAAGTCTTGCTGACCTAGATTGAGATGTGCTGGTGATTCTTTTCCCCGATGTAGAATCAACAAGCACATCCGTGGCTCTCAGCACAGTGCTAACTTCACCTTGCCAACCGAGAGGCTGAGCAGTTGGCAGGGAGGGTAAAGATCAAAGAGAAAAGCAGAAGTAAAAGTTGCATCACTTGGCTGAGTGTGGTAGCTCACTTCTGTAATCCCAGCACTTTTGGGAGGCCAAGATGGGTAGATCACCTGAAGTCAGGACATTAACAGCAGCCTAGGCAACATGGTGAGACCCCATCTCTACTAAATATAAAAAAATTGTCCAGCCATGGTGGGGCACACCCATAATCCCAGCTACTCAGGTGACTGAGGTACCAGAATCACTTGAAGCTGGGAGGTGGAGGTTGCAGTGAGCTGAGATTGGGCCACTGTACTCTGTTGCATGGGTGACACAGCAAGACTCTGTCTCAAAAAAAAGTTACAACACTTAAGTCTTCCTGACTACATTCCATTTGGAAGTGCTAAGTTTCCAAAGACACGTAAGGTACAATCAATGATTGCTAGGGTCTGAATGTTTGTGTCCTTCCAAAATTTGTATGTTGAAATTCTAACCCCCAAGGTGATGATAGTAGGAGGTGGGGCCTTTGGGAGGTGATTAGAAGAAGAGGACACAGCCCTCACAAATGAGATTGCAGAGAGCTAGCTAGCCCCTTCCACCATGTGAGGATACAGTAAGAAGATAGTCCGCTACCACTGGCTATGAACTAGAGGACAGGCCTTCATCACACATCGAACCTGCTGGCATCTTAATCTTGGACTTGCCAGTATCCAGAGCTGTGAGAAATAAACTTCTGTTGTTTATAAACTACTCAATTTATGGGATTTTGTTGCAGTAGCTTCAATGGACTAAGACAATGGCTAGGTATTTGTTTCTAAGCCATGCCAGTGTGTCCATGACTCAGTCACTTGAACAGAAGCACAGCAGAGATGAACTTAGATTATTTTCATCCTGCTTGAGAAGACCCAGTTAAATGGGGAGAAGAATGGGCTACTTGACCGTCAATCTTTCCAGAACATTCTCAGACCTTCAGACTGTGCCTGTTATATCTTTGCCAGTACTATCACTGTTTCTTTGCTTTGGCAAGTGAGAGCTACTTCCTGCAGTCATTAGATTTCACTCAGCAATGTCTTCTCATCAGGAAAACCAAGCCTCAAAGACGCTTACATCCATAAAATACATTTGGCTCCAAAAAAATCTATCTTACCTCATTGCTCCTGGCAATCAATTTGGTTTGTGTGTCTAATTTCCTCAAGCCAATTGACAAGAATTATAGTCTTGTAATTACATAGTTCTCTATATCACAAGCTCAGGAATCAACACGGTGAGTTGGTGCATGCCCCAGGGTTTACTTCTGCTGCTGTCCATCATGCCTCTCTTAATTCTTAGAAAAGCATCAATTTATCCAAGACAGAAAACTGCTGCTAAGCAGGCCAGGACAATTCTCAAGGCACCAATGACTAGCATGAGGCAATGGGGGATGGAGAGCTCCTCTATTTTCTTTCTCTAATTCTCCCAGATCCAGATCCATAGCCTGTTCTTGCCTAAGTATAAAAGGCCCTATGCAGAACTGCCATTCTTTGTTAGCTGGGCTTCTCTATTCTGTCTTTTTGCCACTCAGGCAGCCTCCTTCCCAACTTCCCTGTACCTGCTACTTTCTACCTCTCCATCCAACCTATCTCTTGTTTTAAAAATGAGAAGCCTGGGTGTGGTGGCTCATGTCTGTAATAGCACTTTGGGAGGCCAAGGCAGGAGAATCATGAGGTCAGGAGATAGAGACCATCTTGGCTAACACGGTGAAACCCCCCTCTCTACTAAAAATAAAAATTAAAAAATTTATTCACTCTTTTGGTCAGCTCAAAGGATAAAAGGCTGGTAGTAACTCAAAATATTTCTTTTTCTCAAATCTGTCTCCATTTTATCAAGGAATAAGATTTTAGGCTAAAGAAATGGAGGGAGAATTGACAGTGAAATACAATTCCCCAGCAATAGCAGATGGGGAAGATTTGCAGGGAGCTGCTTGGGTCTCTAAAATCACACGTGGAGGCAAAGATAGAATCCACCTACTCTAAAATAAGCCCTGTCTACAGGCTTTGAAGCAAAAATGCCTGACTTTGTTTTGGGTTAGATCCTACAGAGATTCCTCCAGCCTTGAAAAAAATTCCCGTGGTTTAATAAAACTTATAATCTCTTGTGATGATTACACAAAGGCACCTCTTGGGATTTCCCCACAGGCTGCCTCCCCACTGCCCCTACTATGTCTTCTTCACTGTCCCAAGCGCATATGAATCCCTGGCTAAATAGCTTGCACTCTTGGATTATCTTACCCCCACCAGGGTGTTTGGCAACATTGGATATTTGATGCTTGGATGGGCATCAAATGGCTGAATCCACTGACCACATATTCAGTCTCCATTTCAGTCTTTATGTTATGTGATAGGGAGTCAGAGATGAAAAGTCTCAGTCCCTACTGTTGATGAGTTTTTAGCCCAGTGGTTAGACAATCATGTGAACAGATAAAAACTAGTGTAGCTTGAACAAATTTCAGTACTCATACTTGGGTATGCAGGAAACAAAGCTTTTCTAATTTTTGTTCTATATAAACTTGATTATTATTACTATTATTTTTTGAGATGGGATCTCACTATGTTACTCAGCCTGGTGTCTAACTCTTGGGCTTCAGCAATCCTCCCACCTCAGCCTCCCCAAGTAGTAGGTGCGCACCAATGTGCCCAGCTCAAAAAACTTGATTTTTAACTTGAGTCCCCATTCTGCCTAGTGGCTGAAATGTAATTTTTAGCCAACAGGGCTTTCTCAGCTGATCAAACTCTTGCCTCTCTCCTTCTCACCACAGGATTGCATCTCAATTCTGAGTGCTATGTTGGTGCATTCTGGTGAGGTCAGGGAGAGACTAGGTAGTGTCTAGGGCTCAATGGTCACATTTATTTATTTTAATAAATGTTAATTTTAAAATTAGAGACAAGGGTCTTCCTACATTGTCCAGGCTGCCTTGAACTCCTGCACTCAAGTGATCCTCCTGCTTCAGCCTCCCAAAATGCTGGGATTACAGGCCTGAGCCACCATGCCTGGCCTCAATGGCCACATTTTATCTGGCCTTTGGTTGTTCTTCATCTTTCTCACTGAAATCTCTTGAGATGTTTATTTTCTTATCAGATCTCTGGTCAGAATGTTCAAGGGATTCTCTGCTACCATTTCCTTCTTCCTAATCCAATCATCTCTCTCTGTTGTCTTCACATCTCTCCCAGGGAATGGAAAATATTTGGCTGCTTGTTACCTGCCTAGAAGGCTATAGGTAGGGTAGTGGGGTGGTTTCATGTACTCTTGGCTTCAACATTTATGACCTATACCCAGTCCATGCAGGATGCAAGAAGCCTATATGAGACTGACTTTTGTTTTGTTTTATTTTTTTGAGACAGAGTCTTGCTCTATTGCTCAGGCAGGAGTGCAGTGGTACATTATGTCTTACTGCGGCTTTGATCTCCTGGGCTCAAGCCATGGAGATCCTGCTTTCTCAGCCTCTCAGATTAGCTGAGACTACAGGCACATGCCACCAGGCCTGGCTAACTGTTTTGTTTTTTGTAGAGGTGGGATGCCATTGTGTTGCCCAGGCTGGTCTCAAACTCCTAGCTCCAAGCAATCCTCCCACCTTGGCCTCCCAAAGTACTGGGATTGCAGGTATGAGCCCTGTGCCAGGTGGAGACTGATGTTTAACACCAGATTCCCTCCACTTCTGAGACCCCAGCCAATCTGGAGTTTCTTTTATTTTCCCTTGCTTCTCTTCAGGCTTGGAATGGTGCAAGAAAGGATGCTCATCAGAATTGTTTCTGTTCCTCCACCTTTTCAGGGGATCTTATATCCTCTAGAGTGGGGTAAACTTTTTTTTTGAGACAGAATCTTGCTCTGTTGTCCAGGCTGGAGTGCAGTGGCATGATCTCGGCTAACTGCAACCTCTTCCTTTCAGGTTCAAGTGATTCTCCTGACTCAGCCTCCTGAGTAGCTGGAATTACAGGCACTCAAAACCACACCTGACTAATTTTTGTATTTTTAGTAGAGACAAGGTTTCACCATGTTGGCCAGGCTGGTCTTGAACTCCTGACCTCAAGTGATCCACCCATCTCAGCCTCCCAAAGTGGTGGGATTACAGGCATGAACCACCACGTCCTGCCTTGAGTGGGGCAAGCTCTTATATATGCATGTCTTCGTCCAATCCAAACTTATTGATGATAGAAATACTTTACTGCTCTAAATTCTGTGGGATTTTAGCTTCTGATATTCAAAAGCCAGATTCTGATGCTCGAAAGAAAGGATTTTTAGACTAAATATATTTTCCTTCAGGTTACTGTTTCTGGAATGGGCTTCATAGTTTATTTATTTATCTTTGAGATGGAGTTTTGCTCTTGTCACCCAGGCTGGAGTGCAATGGCACAACCTCAGCTTACTGTAGCCTCCACCTCCCAGGTTTAAGTGATTTTCTTGCCTCAGCCTCCTGAGTAGCTGGAATTACAGGTACCTACCACCACACCCAGCTAATTTTTGTATTTTTAGTAGAGACGGGGTTTTGCCATGTTGGCCAGGTGGGTCTTGAACTCCTGACCTCAGGTGATCCACCTGCCTCAGCCTCCCAAAGTGCTGGGATTACAGGCATGAGTGATCATGACCAGCCTCACAGTCTACTTTTAAATGGAAAAACTAAGAAAACTATCCTTTCTTTGTCTGCATTTATTCCTCTACCAATTCTATGCTAAGGGCAGTGAACACAGAACATCATCACTACTGCTCAGTTAGAAGTAGTGAAGAGGGGCAGCAGAAAGTGTCAGATAGTCTCACTGAGATGGACTAACACCTCCATGAGCTAAAATTTAGGCCAGGCATGTGGCTCACTCCTGTAATCCCAGTACTTTGGGAGGCCAAGGTGGGTGGATCACTTGAGGTCAGGAGTTTGAGACCAGCCTGGCCAAAATGGTGAAACTGCATCTCAACTGAAAACACAAAAATTGGCCAGGCATGGTGGCACACACCTGTAATCCCAGATACTCGGGAGGCTGAGCCATAACAATCGCTTGAACTCAGCAGGCAGAGGTTCCAGTGAGCTGAGGTTGTGCCATTGCACTCTAGCCTGGGAGACAGGGTGAGACTCTGTCTCAAAAAAAAAGTAGCTGGGTGTGGCAGTGTGTGTCTGTAATTCTAGCTACTGGAGAGACTGAGGCAGGAGGATTGCTTGAGCCTGGGGGTTAGAGACCACGCTAGGCAACATAGTGAGACTCAGTCTCAATTTAATAAAAGAAAGTGAGTGGGCTGAGGAGAGACCAATAACTGCAAGACTTGAGAAGTATCTAATAGAAGAGACACTGGAAAAAGATTGGAAAGTAAACTGAGAGATGGGAAGAGAATCAACAGTGAGTAGTGGAAACTAGGAGAGAAAAAAAGATACATTCCTACTGTCTAGTAACTCAATCCATGGAACCAGTTAGAGCAGGAAGAAAATGTGTCTCCAGTTACAGAGAAAGAATAATCTAAGCCAAAGAGTTAGAAGACCTAAGAGTTTCTTTTTGGTTTTTCCACTTTTGCACAAGTGTTTTCCCAAGGCCTGAACTCTCTTTCTATAAAACAAGCAAGTAAGTAGTTTATTATATATAATATGTATAACATAATTAGCAGAAGTATTCTCTGAGATGAATAAAGTTATGTCTACAGGATTCTTTGAAGTCACAGGAACACAGGGCATTCTCATTTTTTCATCATCTCTGAAATAAACAGCTTTCAATGCTTGCTAACTTCGCTCTGGACTGAAAAACAAAAATAGATCTTAAGTTTCTTAACTCCTAGATATAGCCTCTGAGGGACACATTTCGAACGACTAATATCATGCACCTTCTCATATCAAATGCATTCACGTTATTTTTCATATATGAAAATAGCCATATTTTGGAAAATACAATGTTAATGTCTACATTTTATATGTAAGAAATTCACACTATCCTTTTGTTTTTTAGCCCTGCAACTTCTAGAATTTATCTATTTTTGTGAAATATTGACTCACGCCTGTAATCCCAGTATTTTGGGAGGCCAGGGCAGGTGAATCACAAGGTCAGAATTCAAGACCAGCCTATCCAAGATGGTGAAACCCTGTCTCTACTAGAAATACAAAAAAAATTAACTGGGCATGGTGGTGGGTGCCTGTAATCCCAGCTACTCAGGAGGCTGAGACAGAGAATTGCTTGAACCCAGGAGGTGGAGGTTGCAGTGAGCTGAGATCACATCACTGCACTCCAGGCTGGGAGACAGAGCAAGACTCCATCTCAAAAAAGGATTGCAGTGTGTTCAAATGCTTTTCTTGGTACTAATTAAATATTTAGTATATCATTTGTTGCCTGGGTCTATTTAAGAATTTAGCAGGTCCACCTAAGGAAATTTCCACATTGTCCTGAGGCACGGAGCATGAAACTGACCACCTTGTAAAAATTTTTGAGAAGCTCTCAGGAACTAGAAAGGGACACATGTGAGTGTAGCTGCCCCACCACCATTTTCCACCCTTGTTTAATATGATATAATTAGGTATTTATAAAACACTTATCATCATAACACACTGGTCACTTATTTATTTATGTCAGCTTGTGTCACTTCTGTTATTGAGAGGCGTACTTAGATTTCAAGTGCATTATATTATCCATAAGTGGTGTTTTTGGAATAGCATCATCACCTACATTTATGATCACTTATTGATGAGAAACTTCTATCAGGCCTCTCTCTTTACAGAGATGTCACTATCATTCTTTACATTTGAAATAATTCAGGGCCACAATAACCATCATTACATGGTGCTGAAGTTATGGAAACAAATCTTACCCACCTTTATGGATGGTGGAAAGTAGCCTTATCTTCTTTTGGAAATTTTAAGGTTTTGGTGACCAATTTAATACATCAGGAGAAATAACTTTGTAAACTAAAAAAGTACTCTATAATTGCTGCAGCAGTGACAGGATGCCTAGAATTGAGTTCTGAATGTTTTGAACAGTGTCTGTCTATAATTGGTACTCATTGACTATTTGTTGAATAAATGGATGATTGAATAAATGAATGATATACATTTTCTTTCTATAGACTTTTTTCTGAGACACAGTTGTCTTTTTTTGAGACCCTGTTGTCTAGGCTGAAGTGCAGTGCCATGATCTTGGCTCACTGCAACCTCCACCTCCTGGGTTCAAGTGACTCTCCTACCTTAGTCTCCCAAGTTGCTGGGACTACAGATGCATGCCACCATGCCCAGCTAATTTTTTTGTGTTTTGTTTTGTTTCTTTGAGGTGGAGTCTTACTCTGTTGCTCAGGGTGAAGTACAATGGTGCAATCTCAGCTCACTGCAACCGCCACCTCCCAGGTTTAAGAAATCTTCCCACCTCAGCCTCCTAAGCAGCTGGGACTACAGGTACATGCCACCATGCACAGCTAATGTTTGCATTTGCAGAAGAGACAGGGTTTCATTGTGTCATCCAAGCTGGTCTGACACCCCTGACCTCAAGTGATCCACCTGCCTAAGCCTCCCAAAGTACTGGGATTACAGGTATGAGCCATGGTGCCCAGCTTCTTTTTGTAGACTTTGTGAGTTGTGAGCTAGAAGTAGAAGGCCATTATGAAGACCAAGATGAGGCATCTAGTGATAATGAGAAGAAACTAATTGGCAGAAGACAATTTGACAGCAACGTATGCTATACCTTTGCAATTGGGTAATTAGGAATTGCCTATACATGAATTTATTTGGACAAGTGGAGATGAAGTAATATCCTGTTGCTCTATGTTGTAAGAACATATTTTAGGTAAGACAGCCATATGAAATAACCATTGCCCCAGTGACTATTACCCTTAGTTGGTGGTCAAGATGGACTCTCTTATACCAACTGCCATGTTGTAAAGTCAGATTGAAGCAAATTTTAATTTAAATTTAGGTGCACAATATATTGCATTTTTCTATGTTTACATTTTATTCCAAACCCATGTGAAATATTATCAAATCTCTTGTCTCTGTGTATGTATTTTGTTTTCCTACCTATTTTATACTTGCAAAACATTTAATGTAATGCATGCTCTTTCCTAACTACATTTGTTTACTTTGACTTTGTCAGCTTGTGTCATTTCACCCTTAGAGGAATCATAACTGTGACCATTTGCTTCCTTAATAGAGAAATGCCGTGATCCTTGGAGTTATAAATGGAAAGGAAGAATGAGGTCTCCCATGGCCTTAACTTCAGGGCTAAACTCTCCTGTGAAGGCTTTGAGCTACACTAAGACTGACAAGGGGATTAGAAAGTGATGATACTTGGACTTGAGCATTAGTTATAAATGAGTTATAACACATAAGTACCAAAAGGGAAAATTTTTTTACAAGTTTACATGGCTTGACTGTGTCCCCACCCGAAACTTCATCTTAGATTGTAATCTTCATAATCTCCATAATCCTCACATGTCAAGGACAGAACCAGTGGAGGTAATTATATCATGAGGGCTGTTTCCCCATGCTTCTCTCATGATAGTGAATGAGTCTCATGAGATCTGATGGTTTTGTAATTGTCTGGAATTTGCCTTGCTTGCACTCACTCCACCCTGCAGTGAAGAAGGTATCTGCTTCTCCTTTGTCTTCTGCCATGATTGTAAGTTTCCTGAGACCTCCCCACAATGTGGAACTGTGAGTCAATTAAGTCTCTTTCCTTTATACAGTCTCAGTTATTCCTTCATGGCAGTGGGAGAATGGACTAATACACAGCTTTAAGTAGATAAGAGATGAGAGGTAAGAAGCTCATCTTTGGGGTAGCCTATCCTTTTCCTCTGTGAATTTCATGTAGGACAACATGCTCTATTTCAATTATCAATAGTCACCTAATAAGACACTTGAAACATAGTGGCTGAATAAGGCAGTCAGATGGTGGCATGGCTGGGACCTTCCAGATGGCATCATTCATATGTCTGCAGCCTTGGCAGGAATGACTGAGAGCTGGGACCTCTCTTCATGTGACTAACCTCTCTATGTGGTCTCTTTGGTAGGGTAGCCTGATTTCTTCCATGCTGTTTCTGTTTTTTTGTTTGTTTGTTTCTTGAGACAGGGTCTCACTCTGTCACCCAGGCTGGAGTGCACTGGCATGATCTCAGCTCACTGCAACCTCCACCTTTCAGGTTCAAGTGATTCTCCTGCCTCAGCCTACTGAGTAGCTGGGTGGGATTATAGGGACCTGCCACCACACCTGGCTAATTTTTGTATTTTCAGTAGAGACAGGGTCCCACCATGTTGGCCAGGCTTGTCTTGAACTCCTAACCTAAGATGATCCACACACCTCAGCCTCCCAAAGTGCTGGGATTACAAGTATAAGCTGCTTCAGGGTTTTTATAAGTACAAAGACAGGGGCTGCCCACGGGGCTCATGTTTGTAATCCCAGCACTTTGGGAGGCCAAGGCGGGCAGATCACTAAGTCAAGAGATTGAGAACATCCTGGCTAACATGGTGAAACTCCATGTCTACTAAAAATACAAAACTTACTGGGCGTGGTGGTGCACACGTGTAATCCCAGCTACTGGGAAGACTGAGGCAGGAGAATCAGTTGAACCTGGGAGGTGGAAGTTGCAGTGAGCCGAGATCATGCCACTGCACTCCAGTCTGGTGACAGAGTGAGACTCAACTCACACAAAAAAAGTACAAAGACAGATGCTTTCTTTAGGTTTAGCCTAGAATTAGTATAATGTCATGTCTGCCATGTTCTGTTGGATGAGTGAAACATGAGGTTAGCCCAGATTCTATGTGAGAAGACCACAGGAAGATTTAATACCAGGAGATGTGGTTCATTTTGGGCTATCTTCAGAGACTGGTTACCACACCTTCTAGAGTGAAAGGGTTTGATATGCATGGTCTAAGGAAATAAACTATGTAAAGATATAGACAATATATTATTCTTATTTTTGGAAAAATTGTACACACATATTACTGTGCAAACAGTTACTTACAAGAGATCAAGAAACAAGACCCTGAAAATAGCTGGAGAGTCTATTTATTTTCAATTTAAAAAGATTCTGAAAAATAATCTGGATTGAGTTTTCCATGTCTAACTCAGTACTAGACTATGATCCTATAAAATAGTGAGTTACCTGGATCTCTCAAGAAACTGTCCATCCAGCTGGAGCAAGGATGGCCTTGCTGTCAGTGATGGCTCATTTCTGCCATTAGTCATTCTGGGATAAGGTAGGTCCTGAAATGCAAAATGAGGCTGTTGGAAGGAGGCCTTATACTGGCATGAGTGGGCAGATCCTTCCTCTACTTGGGGCTGGACACTTAGAAGAAAAGACATACCCAAAGACTCACCATGAGGTCAGGGAAGAGTGAAGTTCAGTGGCCTTAGTACATGACTGAAGGCTCAGGTTTAAGCAAAGCTGCGTTCCACTGTGGGACGTCCTAGACCTGTGAAGTTTCTAGGCCTGTGTTACAATTCCCTTGTTAACTAGCAGCTTCTAAAGAATCTCCATGAAACACCACAGCCCAGTTCTATTTAGTACTATGGAAATAAGGGCAAAGTCTCTGTCTGGTGAAGCAATACAGGGGAGATCATCAGCCTCCGGAGGGAAGGTATTTTATAATAAAAGCCTCCAGGGCAGGCCAGGACAGTGGCTCATGCCTGTAATCCCAGTACTTTGAAAGGCTGAGGCTGATGGATCACATGAGGTCAGGAGTGAGTTCAAGACCAGCCTAATAAACATAGTGAAACCCCTGTGTCTACTAAAAATACAAAAATTAGCCAGGGAAGGTGGTAGGCACCTGTAATCCCAGCTACTAGGGAGGTTGAAGCAGGAGCATCACTTGAACTTGGGAGATGAAGGTTGCAGTGAGCCAAGATGGCACCATTGCACTCCAGCCTGGGTGACAGAGCAGGACTCCACCTTAAAAAAGAAAACAAAAAGAAACCTCGAGGGAAGGGCTATGGCAGAGCACATGGTTGTCCAGGTGGTCCATGGTGGCTTAAAATGCATTGATCATTGCTGACAAGGCAAGGGGCAACTGAGATGGATTTCAGATACAAGTTAGCATTTTCCCACTACTGATCAGCATGGGAGTTTTGACCTGCTCCATGTCCAACCTGAGCTGGTCCATCCCTCCTTAGGCAACCTGGTGGTCCCACACTATTAAGAGGTCACCATATTGATGCAAAACTTAGCGCAGACACCTCATCAGCATAGCATGCTACAGCCCAGAACTCCTGGGCTCAAATGATCCTCCCACCTCAGCCTCCTGAGTAGCTGAGACTACAGGCACGTGCCACTGTGTCCAGCTTTTATTTCTTTTTCTTTTTGAGACAGCATCTTGCTCTGTTGCTCAGGCTGGAGTGCAGTGGCACGATCTTGGCTCACTGAAATTTCTGCCTCCTGGGTTCAAGCGATTCTCCTGCCTCAGCCTCCTGAGTATCTGGGATTATACATGCCCACCACATGCCCAACTAATTTTTGTATTTTCAGTAGAGATGGGGTTTCACCATGTTGGCCAGGCTGGTCTCAAACTCCTGACCTCAAGCAATACTCACCTTGGCCTCCCAAAGTGTTGGGATTACTGGCATGACCCACTGCTCCTGACCCATGTCACCTTTGAACAGAGATAGTTTTACTTCTTTTTTTTTTTCTCCAATCAGGCTGCCTTCTATTTCTTTCTATTACCAAATTACATGGGCTAGACCCTCATGATACTGAATAGAAGTAGTGAGAGTGGATTCTTGCCTTGTTCCTGATCTTAGGGGGAAAAGCATTCAGTCTTTCACCATTATGTATAATGTTAGATGTAGGTTTTTGTAGATAACCTTCAGTTATCCTCCTTTTGACTGAAAGACACAGAAAACCCTAACTTAAATGGACTAAAACCATGAGAGCTTTCACTGTCTGAGTGTAAGTCCAGAGTCAGGATGGGCTCCAGTAACTGTGTGAATCAGCTTTTCAAGACATCAGTAAGATCTCTGGCTGCTTCCACCACTCCACTGAGGTGCCCTTAGCATCATCCTAAGGTTGGTTTTCTTTTAGGCTATAAGATATCTGCCAAAATCATCAGAGTCTATAGTGCTTCCTTACTGAGGTTTACCTGGAGAAACGGAGGGATATAAGAGTGAGGCTGGGAGAGAGGAAGTGAAAATCTCTCTCCCAGCCACAGACTCTATCCTCTGCTCGGTCTGTGTAGGCTGAATGCCCAATCACAGATTACACAGCCGCTGCTGGGTCAGTAACAGTCATCAGGGAGGCAGATGTCTTCTATTCTTCTAATCATCACTCTGCTCAGTGTAATAAAGAACAAGTGGCCAGGCATGGTGGTTCACACCTGTAATTCCAGCACTTTAGGAGGCTGAGGTAGGTGGATCACTCAAGGTCAGGAATTCGAGACTAGCTTGAACAACATGGTGAAACCCCATCTCC